AAAGTCTGTCACATGAATGTCTTCCCAAGAAAAAAAGCAAGAAGTTCAGTGAGTGAATCAGTATAGTAAATGAAGAATGACAGCTTGTCAAATTTTCTTTCCTTTTCTTGTTTTTGTTTGTTTGTTTGTTTGTTTTTAGGAATGCTCAGCAGTATTATTTTATTTGAGTCCAGATTCAGTCAAGTTGATAACCAATATTAATTTTATAATTGCTGTTTGGAATATAAATTTGTAGATTCACTTCAAAAGACAGTTTAGCATTTTCTTAGAACACTACATGTACTGTTAGCACAATATCCAGCAGTTACATTTCTCCCTAAAGTCTGTCAACCAACTTTATTTATACTGTGCATCCAAACCCTACATACAACTTTTAAGGCATCTATATTAATAAGTGCGAAAGCCTGAAATTGATCAAGATGTTACTAGTAGCTAAATAAATAAATTATTATATACTAAAACGATGCCAGAGAGGTCAAGAATACCACAAGAAATCCCACAGAATCAATTAATCTGGCTCATAGGGGCTCACGGAGACTGAATTGACAATGAGGGAGCTTTCATGGGACTGCCTAGACACTCTGCATATGTTAGAGTTGTGTAGCTTGATCTTCTTATGGGACTCCTAATAGAGGGAGCAGGAGTTGTCTCTAACTCCTTTGCCTGCTTTTTGGACCCTTTCCCTCATACAGGGTTGCCTTAGTAGGAGAGGAAGTGCCTAGTCTTGCTGCACCTTGATATACCATGGCTGGTTGATATCCATAGGAGGCCCACCCTCTTCTGGAGGAGAGGATGGCAGCAGGCAGAGGGGAGATGGTGGTAGGACTGGGAGGAGAGGCGGGGAAACTGCAGTTGTGATGTGCCTTTGTTAGGATTTCTATTGCTGCGATGAAACACTATGACCAAAAGGCAAGTTGGGGAGGAAAGGGTTTGTTTGGCTTACACTTCAGCATTGCTGTTCATCATGGAAGGAGGTCAGGACAGGAACTCAAACAGGGCACAATTCTGGGGGCAGGAGCTGACTCAGAGGCCATGGAGGGGAGCTGCTTGACTTGCTTCCCATGGCTTGCTCTCAGCCCACCTTCTTAAAGAAGGCAAGACCAGAAGCCCAGGTATGGCACCACCCACCATAGGCTGGCCCTTCCACATTGACCACAAATGAAAAAATGCCTTACAGGTGGATCTCATGGGGCGTTTCCTCATCAGGGCGTTTTCTCAACTGAGGCTCCATCCTCTGATGACTAGCTTGTGTTAAGTTAACACACAAAACCAGCCAGGACAGGATGATGATGATGATGATGATGATGATGATGATGATAATAATAATAATAATAATAATAATAATAATAATAATAATAGATATAGTCTGTTAAAATGACAATAGGTATATGGTTTGTAATATTAACTCAGATTTAGTTACTAATATTTTAGGTTGAATTAATTTATCAGCCCACAGAAGCATAAAAGCTTCAATGCAGTACCATCTTCAGCCAGTCCCACAGAAGGGAAAAGGGCAGAGGTGGAGGCAATCAGAATAACACAAAAGAAAATTAAATGACAGGGATAAGGTTGCTACTTCCTGAAAGCTGGAATAGTTATACATTTATGTTCCTTCAACTAAGTATGACTGAAGAGTGAGGGTTTTCTATACATAAGCAAGAATATGCAAAATGAGGCACGGGGAAGACAAACAGGCTGGGGACCTGTGCAACAGCATGGCTTGGAACTGCTTGGCTGTTTCTCTTGATTCCTAATGTTCCTTTGAATTCTTCAATTGCTGTCTCTACATTTTAGGATTCAGTCACTTCCTCCTGTCTTTGCTGGAGTATCCCAATGAATCCACTTTTCTACGCATTCTGAGGCTCCCCCAATCTTGGCTGTGCATGTTCCTGCTCCAAATCTCTGATTCTTCTTGGAAAATGTGTTACAGGAAGACTCCAAAGAATGCATGCCTTCTCTTGATCCCACAAAGCTTAAGAACTGAGAACTTGAGCACAGTGTTCTGAAATGCTACAGTTTATAGATACACACAAACATCAAAAACTAATCCAACAAGTTGTATATATTTATGATGAATTATCTAAATATAGTTATGATTATAAGAAAATATATTTATATTCATATATTATATATGAACCTAAAATATATTTATGATGATGAACCAGTTCTGTGTTACAGAGGTAGTGGCAGCATGAATCTGTATCTGTAAATAAATAGCACAGTAAAATAAAGCATATATATTCTAATCATTTCAAATTCCTGGGTTTATACTGCCCTATAATTGTGTGAGATGGAACTACTGAAAAAAATGCATAGAGGATACATAAATCCTCTCTTCACTACTTTTAAAGTTCTCTATGAAACTATTTTAAAATTAGGTGTTAATAAAAGAAATTCAATCCAAGGTTATGTATTCAACTCTGTGGAGTTCACCTGCCTCTTTGGAACACATGAACAGTCACAAATGGGGCAGGAGAGGTGGCTCTGCTGTTCAGAGACTACACTGCTTCTCTAGAGCACAGCAGTCCCAGGACTCATACTGGGAGGCTCACAACCACTTGCAACTTCAACTTCAGGTAATCAATGCCCTCACTGGCATCTGCTGGCACTTGGATACACATAGTGTGCACGCGCACGCACCCACACCCACCCACCCACACATACATACATACACACACATACATACACACACACATACATACACACACACATACATACATACACACATACATACATACACACACACATACATATACACACATACATACACACACATACATACATACACATACATACACACACATACATACATACACACACATACATACACACACATACATACACATACATACACACACATACATACATACACACACATACATACATACACACACACACACACATACTTGAAAATTGCTGTGAACAACAGAACAGAATTAATGTTGTGAATGCTCTTCTGGAAATTTTCAGTGTGCTTTCTCCTTTCCTCCCCACAGGAGTGCTTGACTGCAAGAGGCCACACAGTAAGAAGCATATTTTCACACCAGTCATTAAGTTTGTTCTGAAGTTGAAGATAAAATAAATAATGAGTGCAAAGACTTGAAGATCTGTTAAACAGAGTTTGAAGATTTTTTCAGAAGAGATAGAGAGTAAATATTTTAAGCTTTATGGGCTGTACGGTGTGCTTTGACCACTACTGAATGCTGGCATTGTCGAAAAGCAGCTACACCAATAGGCATAGCCATCAACATCACCGTGCCTCCAGCTACTTACAAAACACATACATGCAGGTCGAGCCTGCAGGTGGTTGTTTGCTGACCTCTGGTATCAAGCCCCCTGCTACACAAAGCCTTAATTTTGTATTTAGATCATTTACCTCACAGAGATAATACAGATGAAGACATAATGGATTTAGGAGCCATCTTCCAGCTTTATCACTAACTGTGCCCTCTGTGAAGTGTAAAAGAAGATAAACAGCAAAACTCTCTTCCAAAGCTTGAAATGTCTAAATCTCATATCGATTGGGCAGATAATTCATATGGAGCGTCTTCTCTCAGACTGCGAAGTCTAAAACAGATTTTTAACTCTGCAAACCATTAAAGCTCACCCTTGGAAGGTGGACATGGGTCCTTAAACCAACAACTGTGAATGTGGCTTTTTTATCAAACAGAAATGAGTTGATATCAAAAAGAAAAGCTTACTGAAATAACCATAATGATACAGCAAGTTTTCTTTCATGTTTCATATTTTATATCCAATCTCATCTGAAAAGTGTGCATGGACTTTAGGACATCATTCTTTTGAGATGAATTATCTGATCATTTCATTGAGATATATATTTTATTAGAATGACATGCATGACACTTAATCTTGGTTGTCAACTTTAAGGGATTTAGAGTCGCCATAGAAACAAATCTCTGGGCAAGTCTGCAAGCAAATCTCTCAATTGAGTTTGTTGATGCAGGAAGAACTGCCCTAAATATAGGCAGTACCATTCCACAAGCTAGGATCAGGGACTTGATAAAAAAAAGCGGGGGCGGGGGGGAGAACCAATTTGAATATAAGCATTCATCTCTCTCTCTCTCTGGTTCATGACTGGGGATGTGGCTCAGTCAAGCATCTTACACTCATGCCATCATGATGGACCATGTCCCCTCAAACTGTGAGACAGAATGAGCCCTTCATCCCCTAAATTGCTTCCTCTAGGTTAATTGGTCACAACAATAAGGGAAGTAGCTGAGACAGAACAACTACTTAAAAGACACAACACGATCCCACTTAACACAAGGTGCTTTTGGGGAAAGGGAGTTCAAATGCATTAATGGCAATGAGTATGCAAATTTGGAAAATCAAATGAGCCATCATCAACCATAGATTGCACTGATACCAGTGACTGTTATAGTGCATGGAGACAAAGGAGCCAATAAAATCATAAATTATAAATACAGTTGAATTTTAATATATATTTAGTAAAGCTGATTATAGCTAAACTTTTGGAATTCTTTTTTTCTTAAAGATAATAGAATTAAAATATAAAAGAATGAGCACTGAGTCACTGAGAGGGTTCAGAAAATAATGAACGTTAAGCAAATGATTAAGAAAATGTGTATGTGACATAATAGTTTTAATTCAAAGACGATTTCCAGTTTTGTAGGCTTGTAATGTCAAACTGAAACATCTACTTCTCGAATATATTAGCTGAAGCAATTTTAAAATGTTCTTTGTAGGCAGGATATAGTAGCGAAGGCACAACAGATGCTGAGACATGAATGAGAAAAATAGAAAGACCTTTTAATAGAGCATGAAGACATGTTTATAGATTTCCCCACAGATGAAGAAACCAGCAGGCCCAGAGCCCTGACTCACCTACAGCTGCTTTCGGCAGAGCGGATACAGACGACTATGGTTCTTGCTGCCTATCCTGGGGTCCCTTCCAATTCGCCACTTTGAGCCTACACAGAAAAAGTAACACAAGAGCATGCAGAAAAGTAGGATGCAGACAAGATGTAAGTCCTCTAATCTGAGGAAAGTCAGGATTTTCTTTGAAACACGTATAGAAATAGTCAGGATATGCCTAAGGAAAAAACAAAGAGAAAACTAGGGAAGGGAAGAGGAGGAAGGGGAAGGGAGGGGAGGGGAAGAGAGGGGAGGGGAGGAGTCAAATACAGGTCTTCCTAGTCAGAAAGAATGCCTGCCATTGACTGTTTGATTGTTTTAATAGTTTTTTTTTAGAATTTTATACATGAGCTCTGCATCCTTGTCACTCCTACCCCTCCCTCCTCCTTTACACTCATTCCTCTCCCCTCTCAAATTCATAATCTCTATGTAAAATATTTTTATTTGCATATATATACACATATATATGCACACACATATGTATAACCTAAGAGTCCATTGGATTAGCACATATATGCATGTGTTCAGGGGTGACCACTTGGTATTAGAAAACCTATGTGGGAGTTCATCCTTGAATGCAACAGATTTGCTCTTTCTCAGCAGCCACTGACTGTGAGCCTGGGTTGGGGAGCAGCTAACTGGTGAATCACCCACCTTGCTGCACAAACATGAGGACCAGAGTTCCCAAGCCCAGACAGAAGCCATATAAAAACTAGGTGGACGTGGTGCCCCTGTAATCACAGTACAAGGGAAACAAAGACAGACAATCCATAGAGCAAGCTGTCTAGCTAAGCTAGCTGAAGCAGTGAGCTCAGGCTTCAGCTGTCAGTCAAGAAGCTTCCTGAAGGGTGTGGTGTTTATAGGAGACTAAGGGATGTGAGATCCCAAAATGCAGAGAAGCGGGATGTTCCAAGTGAGGAAGTGTTTCTCTGCTTCTGCCTCTCCAATTCTCTGTAGAATTGTGGGCACTGGTACATCTGCTTGGATCTTACGACACCATAACCAAACCTCTCTCAATCCTCTGTGCAGGTTTAGCATCTTCTCAAAGCTTGGTGTTGCTCTTCCTAGTCCTCCCATCTATTAGGTGAAGATGCAAAGTGTTTACAGCATTAAACTTTTAAGCAAGGAAGATAAACAACAGCTGAAGACAAATTGGTCCTCTTTTCAGAATAGAAAGCACAAGTGATTTTTTCTTTATTTTCTTATTTTCCTTTATTATTTTCTTTTTAGTTCTTTTGTTACTAAAAAAAAATGATGAAATATGTTCTCATCATGTTTCCCACTACCCAATTCTTCATACATGGCCTGAGTGCCATGGGCCTGAGTGCAGGAGTCTGAGATGGTCTGTACTTGACTGTGCTGGGGGATGGTCTGTATATCAAATTGCTCTGATTGGTCAATAAATAAAACCTGATTGGCCCATGGCTAGGCAGGAAGTATAGGCAGGACTAACAGAGAGGAGAAATAAAAGAACAGAAAGGCAGGAGAGACAGCCAGCCACCGCCAGGACAAGCCGCATGTGAAGATGCCCGGTAAGCCATGAGCCACGTGGCAAAGCATAGATTTATAGAAATGGGTTAGTTTAAGCTGTAAGAACAGTTAGCAAGAAGCCTGCCACAGCCATACAGTTTATAAAGCAATATAAGTCTCTGTGTTTACTTGGTTGGGTCTGAGCGGCTGTGGGACTGGCAGGTGACAAAGATTTGTCCTGACTGTGGGCCAGGCAGGAAAACTCTAGCTACATCCTTATCCCAAATTCTTATCATAAATAGAATATGTACCAAGTTTTGGTACAAAATATATATGTACCAAGCAAAGAAGTTATCTTAAAAAACAATAGTTATCATCCTGGTGGTGGTGGCACTGGGAGACAGAGCCAGGCAGATCTCTGAGTTCGAGGCCAGCCTGGTCTACAGAGTGAGATCCAGGACAGGCACCAAAACTACACAGAGAAATTGTCTCAGGAAAAAAAAAAAGTTATCAACTGGGACAACTGGAAATAAGGTAATGATGCTACAGAACGTCCTAAGGATAAGCATTCATTCTCAGAAGCTAGCATTGGCTTTACAGTTACTTTACTCCAACTATGTAGACACATACAGCTAATTAAATCTTGTGGCACTCTAAATGAATCCTGATGAACATAAAAGATCATAAGGTAGTTAGCTACTTACTTGAATTCCTTGGTATATGACCTAGCTCTTCAGTTAAAATAATACATTTTTAAACCTCACAACATGCTTTCTGGATAGCTTTTTTTGCAAATACAAAATACAATAATCAAAAGTAAATAGTTTGACTCTTAGAATGATTTATAATGAATTTTTTTCAGATACAGGGGAATGAATTTAGATTCATTGAAGTGAAAATTCCCAATTATATTGTTTCCCTGTTTAATTAAACAGATGCTAGATAGTTTCCAGAGTAGCATTTCAGAGACCTCTCTTGTGTAGAATTACTTTCAGTTGTTAAACGTTATGCTCTTCTAAATGAAAACACTAATATAATCCTGACTGAGCATCTATCAGGTACAAAGCACAATTACACTTGGACTCCCTTCAGAAATCACTGAATAATCCTCAGACACTTCTTATATGTCACTGAGGTTTGGCTTCTTATGGAAAATAATTTCTCCATGTTCGGAGAGTTATGCAGGTGTTGTTATCAGCAATGGGGTACTGCTGTCAATGTGCAGAGAACAATCCTTTGTTGTGGCAGCAGCCTGGGTTGTTTGGGGATTTCCATGGAACTTTCTTGGCCAATAACTCAGTTGAAAACAACCCAGTCCCACCACTGGATGCCTTGCTTAGCTCTAAGAGATGGGCAGTTGAGACTCAGTATCCCCCATTACTAGGAGTCCTCATTAGGGTCACCTTCACAGATTCCAGAAAGTTTCCACTGCACTGGGTTTCCATACCATCCCCCAAATACCCACTAATTCCAGCGGTGTTTCCCCACACTCACTCCCTCTACCCCATCTTCCCCCCAACCTGATCCTTTCCACTCCCATAAAATCTATTCTATTCCCCTTCACAGAGAGATCCTTGCATCCACCCTGAACTCTTCCTCTTTACCTAACCTCTGTGTGTCTATAGACTGTAGCTTGGTTATTATTTACTTAACAGCTAATATTCTCACTTCCAAGTGAATACATACCATATTTATCTTTCTGAGTTTGGGTTACCTCACTCTGAGTGATTTTTTTTTTCTGGTTCTGACCATTTACCTGAAAATTTCAAGATGTCATTTTTTTAACAGTTAAGTAATACTCCATTGTATGAATGTACGACATTTTCTTTATCCGTTCTTCTGTTGAGGGACATCTACATTGTTTCAAATTTCTAGCTATTAGAAATAAAGCTGCAATAAACATGGTTAAGCAAGTGTCCTTGTGGTAGGATGTAGCATCCTTTGGGTGTATGTCCAAGAGTGGTACAGCTGGATCTTGAGGCAGATTGATTCCCAAGTTTCTGAGTTACTGCCGTATTGATTTCCAAAGTGGCTGTACACTCATCAGCAATGGAAGAGTGTTTCCCTTGCTCCACATCCTTACTAGCATGAGCTGTCACATGTGTTATTGATCTTAGATACACTGACAGGTATAAGATGAAATCTGGCTACTGAAAGATAAATGTGGACACCAATGAACCACACAACCTTTGACCTAAAATCTGTTCTGCCTGCAAAATATGCTAGGGCAATGGTGGCATGGAACTTGGAATAGCCAACCCATGTTTGATTTGACTTAAAGCCTGATCCATGATAGGGAATCCATGCCTGACACTACTTAGGTAACTAAAAACAAGAGACTAAGTAGCCTGGAGACCTAGTATGAACAAAATACTACTGGTCTTAGAAAAAATTAATAAAATGACTCCTAATGATATTCTGCTATACTTGTAGATCAGTACCTTATCCACTGATAATCAGCGAGGCTTCCTCCCACAGCAGATGGGAACAGATGCAGAGACCCACAACCAGACATTATGAAGAGATGGTCAAAATTGGAGGTCTCCATCAAATCCCTCTCCTCAAAGCTCATGGAATACAGTGGAAAAGGAGGCAGAAAGATGGTAAGAGTCAGAAGGAATGAAGGATACCAGGTGAACCAGGCCCTCTGAATCACCTAAGCAAGGCTCATATGAGTTCACAGAGACTGAAGAGCAAACACAGGGCCTACATGGGTCTCCACCAGGTCCTCTGACTAAGTATTATTGTTTTTAACTTAGTATTTTTATAGTACTCCTGACTGTGAGGAGTTGGTCTCTGACACTTATCCCTGCTCTTGAGACTCTTTTCTTCCTGAAGGGTTGCTGTGTTTTATCTTACTGTATTTTGATTTTGTTAAGTTTGGTAGTTATCTCTTAGAAGCCTGTTCTTTATTAATGAGAGACAGAAAGGGAATGGATCCAGAAAGGAAGGAAGATAGGGAGGAGTTGGGAGGAGTTGAGGGAGGGAAAACTATAATCAGGATACAGTGTATGAGCAAAGTTTCCATTTTTAATAAATGGGAAAAAAAGAAGGAAAAACAATTTCTTAGGAGACTC